GGATCGCCCACATCCCTCCCCTCAGTCCCTGTCCCGTGTTCGCGCTCCTCCTGGATAAAAACCCTGGCCTGCTCTGCGAAGGGGAGATGGGTTGTTGAGGATTGGAAAGAGTGCCCTGTCTCCTTGGGATGCCAGCACTCCAATAAACCTCTTTCCTTTCGCCAACCGTGCTGGGGAGCACACGAGACCGGGTTGGAAAGTTTGTAAGGAGGACATTCTCCTTTCAGGGTTGGGGTCTCCACTGATTGGTCGGTGCCAGGGCCGGGGCAAAGGGGGTGGGGAGGGGTCATTATTCGATGCAGCTGGTCCGGAGGCCAGCCTTGGCAGTGTTTATCTGGCTTTGCTGCTTTTCTGGGCCTGGAGCTGAAACACAACTAAGGCCTAGATGTTATCTCCAGGGAGGAAGGGTCAGGGGGTGTAAACCACATGACCAGCCATGGGGCAGGGGAGGAAAGGTCACCCAGGGATGCGTTCCCACCCTATACTTGTCCCACTGCTAGGAAATAACCCTGGAGAGGTAAAGCAGGGCCCGGAGTCCCTGTTAGGCCACCTCAGCCACCCAGGCAGCGGGGAACAGGCCAGGCGGGAGGAAGACAGACTTAAGCAAGCACATGTTTACGTGGCCACCTGCTATGTGGGAGTACAGGCCCTTCGGCTGCCCCACTTGCAGGCACAGTATCCCCAAACCACAATTAGCAGCCAGTGTACAGGGCAATGACTTCGGCAGTGCCCCTTCGGAACCCTGTCACGTGACTCAGACATCTGTCCTCTCCGCCCTTTCCCCCTGGGACCAGGGAGAACCACTCACCATCCCTCATGCCTGAGACTCTGCCTTCCTTCTCAGCTTCCTGGCTCCTGAGGAAACGGGCTGCACTAGCCCTGCCCCTTGGCCACTTCCACGAATCACACCCTCCGCAAAGATGAAACCTCCTCTGAGGGGTGACAGAGACCCCTCTCCTCTCAGGCAGGGGGACTTCACCAGTAATTTGACTGCTTGCAGGCCAGACAGGCCTCCAGAATTTCAGCGGAATAGAACGGCCCGCCTCCATGGTCCTGGGGTCCTTGAAAGCCCAGTGGGGAGGCTCCTTGCGATGACTTTGGGGGGTGGGGGGGAAGCAGCAGATGGGCCTTGTGGGACAGGCAAGCTGGACGGGAGGGCCCCGGAGGCCCAGGCATTCATTTTGGATGGAGCTGGGACTCTGGATGTGGACTTTGGACAGAGAAGAATGAGCAGAAGGACGTGCAGGGGAAAACTCGGAGGGACAGAGAAATCCCTGCCATTTGTGAAGCACCTGTGTGCCAGGTTTCGTGCTGGATGCTTACATATGCAGGAGGTACCTACCTGTTTCATGGATCTAGCAACTCTTACCCACAGGGAGGGCCCTCTGCATGTATTCACTTAACAACTAGATAAGCACCTGGCATGTAGAAGGTCCTGTCCTAGGTGAGAAGTATGAAATTGGGAAACAGAAAGACATGGTCCATGCGTTTGTGGAGGAGAGGTGGACACTAAGTACATAAATAACAGTATCTACGCAGCATGCAAATTATTATGAATTTGCATAATTATAAAATTATAATTATACAAAAAAAATTTTATTGAGTGGGGTACTATGCAGAGAAGGACGGGACCTAGTTTACTCAGGGTGGCCAGGGAAGGCTTCAGAGGGGAGACTTATACTGAGACCTGAAGGCGGGGAGGGACAAGCCATAAGGCATGGGATTGTGCCCTGGCCGGTTTGGCTCAGTCAGCCTGCGGACTGAAAGGTCCCGGGTCCAATTCTGGTCAAGGGCATGTATCTTGGCTGCTGGCGCATCCCCAGTAGGGGGTGTGCAAGAGGCAGCTGATTGGTGATTCTCTCTCATTGATGTTTCTAACTTTCTATTCCTCTCTCTTCCTCTCTGTAAAAAAATCAATATATATATATTAATAATATATATATATTAAAAAAGGATACAGCAATACTGGTTTCACTTGTCAATTCAGATATAACGGACACACATACATATATTTTTAAGTACTGAGGTTGCCCCCTGCTTCTGGTAGATAAAAATGCAGAAAGAGTCTCACAATTCCATTCTTCAAGTTTGTTCAGCCAGGAAGTAGAATTACAGAACCCAGAGCTGCAGGAACACAGGAATCTTCTAATGAGAATCCCAAAGCCCCTGGGCTGAGGATGCTGGGCTGGTGACATAAAGGCAGGGCTGGTGACATAAAGGCAGGGTTTCAGGCACTTGAAGGGCAGGGCTGTGAACACTTGTGTGGGCATTCAGCCTCCTTAGGGTGTCTAAAGTTTTAAACACTGATTTGTTGTTTCACCTATTTATGCAAATGTTGGTTGCTTCTTGTATGTACCATGACTAGGAATCAAACCCACAACCTTGGCACATCAGGACAATGCTTAACCAACTGAGCTGGCCAGTGAGGGCTCGCCTATGTTTTCTTATAGAACCTTTATTATTTTACATTTCACACTTTGCTCTATAATCTATTTGAAATTTTATGTATGGTATAAAGTAAGGGTGGCTTAGTCCATTGGGCAGTTATAACAAAAGTAGCATAGATCGGGTGGCTTATTAACAACAGCAATTTATTTCTCATGGTTCTGGGGCTGGGAAGTCCCAGATTAGTACCGAGGCAGATTCAGGTTCTGATGAGGGTCTGCTGCTGGTCCTCACAGGTGGCCACAGATGGCCATCTTCTCAGTATAACCTCACATGGCAGAATAGGTGAGGGAGTTTTGGGGGGTCTCTTTATTAAGGGTAATAATCCCATTTATGAGGGTTCCATCCTCATGACCAAATCACCCCAAAAGGCCCCACCTCCAAAATCCATCACATTGGTGATTGGGATTTCAACATATATTTTGAGGGAATACAAGCATCCAGTCTAAAGCAAGGGATTAAGATGTTTTTACCATGTGGATATCAAACTCAGCCGGGGATTATACATTTTACTTTATTACTAGAGGCCCATTGCAGGAAGGTTCCCGCAAGAATAGGGCTCAGCAGGCTTCTCTTTCTTCTCCGCTGCCTTGCTCCCTCCCTTCTCAACAGCTTTGCTCCCTTCTGCAGTGCTTGGCTTCCTTCTACACTGTCTTCAGTCTTGATCTGCGACTGCATATGCAAAATAACAGCCATATTTGTTGGGTTAATTTGCATACTTGCTCCTGACTGGCTGGCAGATGTAGTGGAGGGATGGTCAATTTGCATGTCTCTCTCCCCCTCCCCTCTCTTTCTCTTTTTAAAATATATTTTATTGATTTTACAGAGAGGAATTGAGAGGTATAGAGATTTAGAAACATCGATGAGAGAGAAACATCGACCAGCTGCCTCTTGCACACCCCCCACTGGGGATGTGCCCGCAACCAAGGTACATGCCCTTGACCTGAATCGAACCCGGGACCTTTCAGTCTGCAGGCCGACGCTCTCTCCACTGAGCCAAACCAGTTTCGGCCATGTTTCTCATTTATTAGCATAGATTTTTTGCTGGCCAGGCCAGTCCTTTTTTTTTTTTTTTTAAATATATTTTATTGATTTTGTACAGAGAGGAAGGGAGAGAGATACAGAGTTAGAAACATCGATGAGAGAGAGTCATCAATCAGCTGCCTCTTGCACACCCCCCACTGGGGATGTGTCTGCAACCAAGGTACATGCCCTTGACCTAAATTGAACCCGGGACCTTTCAGTCTGCAGGCCGACGCTCTCTCCACTGAGCCAAACCGGTTTTGGCCATGTTTCTCATTTATTAGCGTAGATTTTTTGCTGGCCAGGCCAGTCCTTTTTTTTTTATTTTTTATCACTGATAAAATTTAGGGTCAGAGAGATTAACATACTTGAAATTAGTTGACAGCCAAATAAGAACCCAGATAATCTGATTTCTGCATCTTTACTATTAACATTTTCTTCATCTCTTTCTCAAGTCTAGAGAGAATAGATACTGAAGAAAACAAATCAAGCTGTGATTTGGTAACATTTGCCAATTTCCCTGGTGTAAATAGTTTCACCACAAGCAATTTCAAACTGCCAACCTGGAGTCCCTCACCATCAAGATGGGAATAGATGCATCATGCTGTATGTGTGAATAACCCAAGAGCATAGGTAACAGGAAAACAATTACAAACAGTGGCACGTTCAGAGCCAAACTGGCCTCTGCTTGGCCTCTATCTTTAAGGAGGTGGGGATTTTCAGCTGGTGAAGCTCATGGCACCCCGCACCAAGGGCACAGTGCCAGGGCCAACACGTGGGGGAAGAAGCCTTTGAGCTTGGCCCCATGGAACAGGCCCCTTCAGATCTCCATGTCATCTTCCTGGGGCATGAACTTGGGGTCTGCTTTACTCTTGTGAGAGTCACAGAACAGGGACAGGGACCCAGTACAAAGGAAGGTTTAGGTATGAACACAAGCTAGTGGAATGGATGAATTAGTTATACCGAATTTTTTTTTTCTCAGATCAGCAAAAAATATACTTTTTGGTGTGCCTCAGCATTTTAGTAACTCGCGTATGTGTTCATAAGATGAAAAAGGCTGCTCTAGAGTCAGGATGGAGCCAGACCCTGAGTCCTGGGAGGGGAGAAGAGGGGGTGGATAATGCCTGAGGCTGCAGGGCTTGATAGCGAGTCAGTGGCTCAAACTGTGACCCCAGAGCCAGGTCATCCTACCACACTGCCTCTGGCTGAGATGTTCGAAGACATTTGGTCCAGGTCCCCATCTGAAGAGCAGCAAGCTGAGGCTCAGAGGGGAGACCTGACCTCAGGCTCACACGTGAGTGACAGTACTGACCTAGCTTCCAGTGGCAGAGGTATTGGTTCCTACAGAGTTCCCGCTAGCTCTCCCTGCCCTGCCATGTCCACAAGGATGGAGCACGGCACCAGAAAAGGTGACAGCATCTCCTCTTTTTTTCTTTCCTTTCATTTTTTAAAATATATTTTATTGATTTTTACAGAGAGGAAGGGAGAGGGATAGGGAATTAGAAACATTGATGAGAGAAACATCGATCAGTTGCCTCCTGCATTCTCCCTACTGGGGAGGTGTCCCAGTCAAGGTACAGACCCTTGACCGGAATTGAACCTGAGACCCTTGAGTCCGAAGGCCAGCTCTCTAGCCACTGAGCCAAACTGGCCAGTGCTCCTCTTTATTTCTTATCCTTATCCTTGTCCTTGTCCTTATCCTTATTTTCATTCTTATCCTTATCTTTATCAGAAGGCCACATCCAGGCTCCAACAGATGACCCAGTGGCGCCCAGGAGGATTTTGGATGACAAGGAGAGTCCAGCTGCCCCTGGGGAAGAAGAGAGGGTGAAACCACAGGGGCACAGGGTGCCCTAGCAGCCCCTGGCAAGGGCGGAGATTAGAGATCCCAGGGAACCTCAGGTAGCCAGAGGCCCCAGCATCCCACTCCTGCTACCTCCTACTTCCTAAAACCTTAGGATGTCTGCTCTGGGGAGCAGCTGCCCAAAGAGGAGGCATGAACTCGGGTGAAGAGTCCCCCAGTGACAGGGCAGACCTTGTGAGAAATGGCAGGCACCTAACCTTTCAGAAGAGGCTGGGGTCTAGAACTGGGGAATGGGGTGTTCCCAGGTTTTGTAGAGTTGACTGGAAAAGCATACTTGCTGGACTGTACCCATGCACCCACCCCCTTCAAACCAGAACAGGAGATATAAGAGGGGAGACAAAGGACCAGGGACTGAGGACCACGCAACTGGAAGGAGAGGACAGGCCCTCCCTCAGGCTTAGGCTCTGGGCTGAATCCCATCCTGGCTCTGTTCCTCCCCTTCATCCCTCCCTCCTCCTGCTCAGGACACCTACCTACTGACTGCAGAGTGGCCACCAGGCTGCCGGCAGCAACTCCGCCCCCATTGGCAATGGCAGCTGATGACATCATCTTGGCAGCTATGGAGGAGGCAGCGATGCCTGTGCTGGTGAAGCCTATGGCGCCCAGCACCACGGGCACAGCACCCACGGCCACCACTGTGGGGGAAAAAGCATTTGAGGTTGACCCCCATGGGACAGGCTCCTTCAGGTCTCCCTGTCATCTTCCTGGGGCATGAACTTGGGTTCTGCTGTGCCCTGTGAGAGTCACAGGGCAGGGTCAGGCACCCAACACAAGGGAAGGCTGTAGGTGTCACAGAAGCAAGTACACTGGGTCCCAGGACTCAGCAGGTCTCTGTGTTGCTGTGACACCTGGGAGGCTCACAGCCGTCCTGGTCCGAGCTGCCCTTGTGGAAACTAAATCAGCTGAAACAAGCAGTGGCCTTCAAGCTTCCCCTTTGGTAGGAAAATGTGCCCCCCTAACCCCCAAGCACAGGGTCAGCAGAAGATGACATCCCTGCTGCTCTTCTGCAGAGGTGATGGAGTGGGGATTCCTGCCCTCTGCTCTCAGGGCCTGTAGCAGTGTGTGTGGGGTTGCCTCCCCCATCTTACATCTCCAGAGCAGTGCAGTCACAGAACATTCAACAAAGAAAATGATCTGGCCGAAACCGGTTTGGCTCAGTGGATAGAGCGTTGGCCTGTGGACTGAAATGTCCTAGGTTCGATTCTGGTCAAGGGCATGTACCTTGGTTGCGGGCACGTCCCCAGTAGGGGGTGTGCAAGAGGCAGCTGATCAATGATTCTCTCTCATTGATGTTTCTAACTCTCTATCCCTCTCTCTTTCTCTCTGTAAAAAATCAATAAAATATATTAAAAAGAAAAGAAAATGTTCTGTACCTGCTCCATCCAATACTGTAGTCACATGGCTTTTGAGCATCGAGGTGTGGCTAGTGTGACAGAAACGTTTCATTTGAATTCTGGCCCCTGTATTGGAGGACCCTGCTCAGGAGCGCAGCTAACCCTTGGGCTCACTGGAGTACCTGCCAGGGCGCCCTGAGCAGCTCCGGGGAACCACACACAGCTCCGCTCCCACATTCCCCACAGCCCTGCCCTCGGGAGGAAGCCTGGGCTCAGGCAGATGGAAGGGCCACAGGTTTACACCAGCAGAAGCTGAGCTGGGACTGGGGTGTGTTCATGGCTTTGCTTTAGTTTCTGTGCTCTAAGGTTCACCTCTGCTACTTCACCTCTGTCCCCTGCCCACTCCCCCTGTCCCACCTGCATTCTGAGGCTCCAGGGAATCCTGGGCTGGGTCACCGGAGGTTGCTCCCAGAAGCCCAGAGCCAGATGGGGGCTTGACCTCCTTCCCAGAGAGACTCACCTCCTCCGAGCACGGCTGCACCAACCTTGCCTGGACACAGAGAGAATGCATGTGAGTGTGACACGCTGGCCTCCCCGCCCTTCCCGCTGCCGCCCACAGTGGGGAGGGGGCTCTGCAGCCGGGATCAGAGGACAGAGCAGCTCCTGCCTGAGGTCAGAGTTACTGAGTATGTGGACGGGGATGCCCAGAGCTCTGAGGCGCTCCAGAGGGGGAAGGGCAACACCTGCTCTTGGAGGGGACACAATATAACCCCTCATTCGTCCCATGTCCTTCTCAATCTCACCCATGCGGATTCCATATCAGCCCATCACCCCTCCACCTCTTGGGTGCCTCACCCAGTCCATGATTTTCAGGACAACTGCATTCTGATGACACACAAATTGTTAAGTCCAGCCCAGACCTATTCCCACAGCCCTCACGATTGGGATTACATAGTTCCCTTACAGAAGAGGCCCCAGAGAGCCCCTTTATTCCTTCCTTCATGTGAATTTACAGCTAAAAGTGGTTGTCTAGGAAGCGGGCTCTCACCAAACTTATCTGCCAGGGCCTTCATCTTGGACATTCCACCCTTCAGAACTGTGAGAACTAAGCTGTGTTATTGATGAGCCCGCAGTCTAGGGCATTTTGTTACAGCAGCCTTAAGTGACTATGACAGCATACAATCAATGAGTGGAAAGGCAATCTACAGAATGGGAGGAAATATTTCCAAACCATATATCTGATAAGGAGTTAATATTCAGAATATATAATGAATTCCCATGAAATCAAAACACACAAATAACCCAATTTGAAAAAAATGGGCAAAGAGTCCAGCAGGGTGGCTCAGCTGATTGAGTGTCCTCTTGTACATCAACCTGTGGGTTTGGTTCTAGATCTTGGGTTGGATCCCCAGTTGGGCAAGTAAGGGAAGCCTCTAGGGAGTGGCTATAGAGTTAAGCCTCTGATTGAGCTGTTGCAGAGTCACAAAGAAGTCCCAGTTTAGAGGGCAGAACTCTCCTAGCATTAAGTTTGACCTTCCCAGGTAGCTAACGGGAACACTGTAACCATGTTGACCACTTGCTTGTTTTTCTCTGACTATAAAGTAAAACCTTATCTTGCCAGCTGGATCTTTTCTGTGTCCTCATCCATGCATGGGAGATCCACGGAGCCCCAGCTATATTCTCTTTGTCTTTTCTTTAATCCTTCCTCCCAGCTCCTCAGGTTCAACCTTGACCGTGCTGACACGGCACAGAGGCCACCAATCGCTGTTTCCCTCACCTATGGAGAACAGTATGGAGGCTCCTCAATTAAATTAGAGTTCCAAATGATCAGCAGTTCCACCTCTGGGTATTTGCCTAAAAATGGAGTCTAGAAGAGATACCTGAACCCCGTGTTCATAGCAGCATTATTTACAATGGCCACGAGGTGAAAGCAATCCAAACATCCAAAGGTTGATGAATGGATAAACAAAATTCTGGCGCATGGGTGAACCTTGGGACATTATGCTAAGGGAAACAAGTGAATCACAAAAAAGACAAATACCGTATGATTCCACTGTGGGCGAATGAAAGGGATTCTATGGAAAGTAACTTCCCATGGTGATCTGACCATAGGTTCCTAACTGGGCAGGTCATGGTGCAGAGTGGCTTCCCGGGTCTATGACTTCTTTAGTGAAAGGTTTTATGCCAGTTCTGTCCAGTGTTGTGGTGCATCTAGGTTAACAAGCCTTTGAAATACCAGACTATCCGCAGAAGGGGTTTTAATCCTCAAGAGAACACCTCCTCCTGTTAACTTTCCTGTAGCCCAGTCCCCATCTGGCTTCCTTCAATCTTCCTTTGCCCCCCTACCCCCTGCCCTCCTCCACCACCTTCGTTTCAAATGCACAAAAGAGCCTGCAAAAACTGTTACACTCAGGAACATTTGAGATCTTGCGTCAGTTTGGCTCAAATAAATTCTTATAGGAATTCTCTACATATTTAGACATTTCTGACATCACCAACACTCAGATGAAATCCCTCAGACCAAATTCCATGTTGCGTGGATCTTGCCACAATTTAAAAGACACACAGAGTGGACCTTGTGCTGCCCTGTCCCTGGGCTGGCCCCAGCTCAGTGGTGAGCCTGCTCTGGAAGGATGTGTCCCGGCAGGAAAGGATTGACCAGGCTGTGGTGTGTCAACGGGGGGAGGAGCACACAGGAGAAATGAAACTTACCCAGGCCTTGGTGGGGTGGGACCAATAGGTCTGCTGGCAGTGGACTTAAACTGGCAAAGAGCCAGTGCCAAGCTGACTAGAAGCTGAGCAGCAGACCTTTGTGATGAGCTAATGACAAAATCCTACCCTGGCACTTAGAGACAAACGGAGCAAGGTTTTCAGAGGGCAGGTATCTGGCCTGGGGTTAGGCAACAGGTCAGTCCAAGAGCCAGGACCTGGAAGGCAGTCCCTCTGACTCCAGAGCATCGCTGGCTTCATTGCCCCTTCTCTGGTGATCTGGGTGTAGTAGAGCTTCCCACCAAAGACGTGTGCCTCAGTGCTCACAGCTGAGAAAGCTGAGCTGAGCTGTGATGGCGGGGTGAGGCCTCAGTGCCCAGGGACCAGTTACCTGCAGTGCTGGCGAAATTGCTTTTTTTGTCTTTGGGCTGGTCTTTGGAATCACTTCCAGGCCCCTTTGGGGGTCCTGATGGGGGTCCCGATGGTGGTCCCCCAGGAGTAGAACCAGCAGAGGATGGCTGGGAGGGTTCTTCCTCCTCTGGAAGAGAAGCAGAAAAAGAGCAAACAGAAGGCGGCAGATGTGGGACCAAAGGCTGCTTCCCTAGGCCCCCAAGGAGGGCTTGAGGCCCATAGACAGCACATAGCACCCTCCACCATTTCCCAACAACTCTGACTGGGGAGGGGTCGTCTGTGGCAGCTGTGCTGGCAGGTGATGGGAATCCTTGGAGATGAGCACAAGGAGGAGCCAGTGGGAGACCTGGCTGGCAACTGAGAACTGGCAGGTCCCTTACTTCACAGAGG